AGTTGAGTGCTAGTTAGAGGGACGAAAGAATTTGCTATTTGGTCTTCCGTACTTTGGAGATCTATAGCGACAATTAATGGGCTTTAGTGACACCTGTTTATAACCTAACGTTTGGTTTATCTTTTGTTGGTGTTGAATATTTAATTGCCATTATAGGTAATCAAGTATTGATCTATAGAAAGAAATTTATTCCTTATTTAATGTATTATCAAAAATTTTAAATTAGTCGCTCCTGTTAGAATTTAGGGTGTTACAATTGAAGCTAAACAATTAATGTTTTTGAGCTTAGTGAATAAGCACTTATCTTAGTGAATAAGCCGTAACCGAACAACTTGTTATACCTTTCTGAATAAGCTATAAGGCAACCATCTCCGACCCCAACCACCACCTGTAGCCATCAACCACTACCCCTTTACCATCTTTTGTCAAGGCGTTGCATCAGTTCAACGTTCCACCTTTAGCCTCTTTCTATGTTGATGTAACACCCCATAATCATATTTTCATATAAACATATATTTCATATATCATGAAATACAACTTTACACATTCGGTCCCAAAGTATACAAAAACTACATTACAAAAGTAGTTACCAATTTTTTCCACGTAATCTCAGAACAAGACTTAATATTTGCTTATAAGTTGGTTTTTGTGAAACATAATTTGTTCACCAATTAGATTATCAGTTAGTTTGCCAAACATAGCCTAAGAAGTTATTATTTATTATATAGGTTTTAAGTCTTCGAATATAATGTGATTAATCATTAATGTGTGTAGGTTTTCTAAATTACGATATACAGTTATGACCCTAACGAAATGTCGGTATAATTAACAATCATAAACCTTAATTAGCTTAATCGGTTTATTGAAAATTAGCACAAAGATTTTTAAAATGGTGATTATATGATTTGGATTTTACATTTAAATAATATATTGTGCAAGATTTGGTTGGACTTTATATATTCCTAACATTTAAAATTAATTAAATATGTTAACTTCAAAGTTTATATTTGTGTATCATCCCGTGAATAACTAGAGAAGTTTTATACCACACTAGCTATTTTATAGGATACTATTTAAAAAAATGTCGTATTAAACACATATTGCCCCATAAAAAGATGAGTTTATAGGACACTTTCTCAAATATTTCCTATGAAATAGTTAATGCGATACTTTGTATTAAAAGTATCCTAAAAAAACTTGTTAAGACTCCCTAAAGCATCCTATAAACTTGTTACAACGTCTTTTGATAGGACGCTTTATTTTTTTGGTCCTATAAGTTATATCTTATAAAGTGGTCTATTAAGATGCTTATTTATTGGTGGTTTTCTATAAACCCGATTTTATTGTAGTATCAGTTTCGATTATTCATTTAACGTTTTAAACGTTCTTGGATATATAACTTGAATCTCTCTAGAGAACCATTTGTTATTTTCAAAGAAATCAGACACTTCGTAGAAGTCATCATCCTTACTTACCTTATAAACATAATGAATTCAACTAACCAAATCAATACAGATAAAGTTGTATGAAATAATTAATACAACACTTTATTTTAAATGCATCCTACAAAACTTGTTACAATTTATTCCTATAAACTTAAGTCATATAAAATATGTTATTAAGACACTTGTACATTTTAGGTATCCTATAAACCTAAGTTGTTGTAGAGATGGGTAAAATATCATCACCCTTACTTACTTACTATGTAAAATTCTCTATTAACAAAAAATAACACAATATAAACGTCTTCTATCTGATAAACGTTAATTGGCAAAATAAAAGTTACCTTAAAAACTTACTAAATGGGATTTTCAATAACAGACTAAAGTTGCTGGTAAATATTATCATCCCCGATTTAGTTATTAAGGGTCCGTTTACCAAACGCTTACTTGGGTAAGTGAACACCAAGTCGCATTACTTTACCAGATGAATATGGTAATAATTAAGAATCTTATCCAGTAAGAGCGAGACAAGGACCAAGAGTCTTACCCGGTAAGTGAGAGCAAGACTCTTGCCATGGTAAACACTAAGAGCTTACCGGGTAAATTATTGCATACGATACCGTTGTGGTAAACTAAAATCTTATCCGGTGAGTGAATAATAGTGTTAAAAAAACGATAAATATTTGGTAAACAACCCCTAAGTAAAAGGCAATTAGTATTTAATAAACGACTTTTTAATTGATAATCTTTTATTCACTATTACACATAATAAAAAAAAAATTCAAAAAAAAAATTATACTACAATAATTATGGGCCCAATTAAAGAAGTCAAAGATATTATCTACCGGAAATCGTGGCTATTTTTTTATTTCTTTTTTACGAATATAATTTGAGAAAATATTATTACCAAAAATTATTCTCAAAAAATTCCTAGAATCTATAACGTTGCATAAAAATTGTGTTATTAAGAAATTCCTAAAAATGGTGTAAACATATGTAATGTTGTAGAATAAGTGTGTCATCCTCTAAAATATATGAAGATAAAGATATAGATAGATATATTTTAGAAGTAAAATATCTCGTAGTTATCTACTTGTAACACATCTCCTATAAAAAATGGCTTATGATATGATTAATGAGAAATACAAATTCATTCTCTTCATTATTGTTTTCTTTCGGTTATTCTACAACACGTTATCAGCACGTTGCTCATTGCCTATTTGCCACTTCATCAATCAATTCTTCTACGATTAATTAGTGTAATTCAAGTAAGCATTTTTATATTGATACAAGTTAAGATTCATAGACATAATACATTGATATGAGGTAACTTTAATTATTTAATTTATGTTTATTAATTATATGATAAATGAAATATGTGGCTTAATGTTTGATATGATATTGAGTTTTTTTTTTAATATATGGTTGCTTATGTGAAAAAAATAATTAACCATAAGGTTTACTTTATTTGAAAATTTGTGTGATTAATTTGTTGTCAATTTTTTTTATTTGTTTTTCTGTTGTTGATGATAGTATTCACCACTCCATGTTTTAGGAGGCGTAAAAATCAAATTAAAGAACATTTTTTTATATGAGTTGATATTACTATCTGGTGGGTATATACATAATTGTATTATTATTATTATTATTCTTTTAATTATAATTATTATCATCATGTGGTTACAATTGTATCCGTAAATTAATAAAGAAAAAGATGAAAAATCACATGTCTTGTCGTTGAAAAAAGGATTACATTGTTGTAATTACTTAAAAACTGCTTAATTAAGGATAATTATAGTTTCAAAAACGATAATCAGATAATATTGATCCAAAATAAAAATTATGTACGACCATTGTTGTTGTTGACTTATGATATGCATTGAGTGATTAAATTGTTTCTATTTAATCATTGAGTTAATTAATTATTTTATTAATACTATTTTCGTACTCGACTATGAATATGAATAATTATCTCATATTCTATTAATTTGTTGTAAATCCAATACCTAATTGATTATCAAGTTATAGTTGTTTATTTCTTCTTATGAACAAATTTGATGATTTCATATGAATATGATTTTCTTTTTATATGTTAAAACTATAAACATCACTTTACTATGTTTAATGCTATAAATGCAATATATAATTTACCACCTAATTCACGTATTGTTTTTATATGTTTATAAGATTACAAAATATGTGATAATATATATATTTTTATGAAGATTTGTTATTCTTTAAAATAATATAATATTATTATCTTTACATTAACTTATTTGGTACGTTGATCCGATATTATAGATTGTTGGTCCCAAAGGGTCTACAAGAATACTAAACAGTTTGTAGAAGGGGGGGG